TTAATTTGTTGTTGCTCATGAATTGAAATAAATGTTAACTGACATACATGTAGTGTCTGGTCTGTCTAATGTTTGTATTTTGTGTGTGGTAATTAACTGATAACTATAAATTGCTTTTAGGGCCCACAATCATAAGCTTTGCTTTTTAGTGGGTACATCCACTGCGTTTCCTCTGTATTTACGTGGTGTTTGAAAATTGAAATTGTATGTATGTTAAACTGTGGAAATAAATGAACAATGAATGTATGAAGTAAATCTTAACTTTTAAAAAACAATAGATGTTCTGTGCATTTAGTTGTTTCTGCCTGTGGTGATTTTTGTCAATGAATTTCTTTGCAGATGCTTCTCGTTATCACTTCAATGGATGGTGTATAATAATAAAAACTGACATTGTATTAGTCCAGCAGTTTATCCATAACAGATGCATAAAAATAAAGAAATGTTGAACCTGAAGAAAGACCCATGCTGTCCGTACTTTGAGTGTTGGTTTTCCACAAATAATGCTCTGTTTACAATGTGATGTCTCCACACAAGCAAACTGTTCCAGTTGACTCATTTCTCTTACAGTGAGCATGCAGCAACTCATTAATCACATCCACCTGAGAGTCATTTACTTCAGTTCTATATGTAGGTATGCATGTCATTTGTCCCGTGTTTGGACTGGAAGAGTAAATTAACAGCAGGGTTGGTGGCAGATTATGCATGTATACAACAGCATCTGACTCGAAGCCAGTTTTAGAACAGTTGGAGGATTGTGACAGAAAGAGGAGTTCTTGAGTAATGAGTTCTCTTGGTTATAGAGAAGTTGTTAGATTTCGAGGAAATGTATGCAGATTACAGTAATAAGAGGCAATTGTGAAAATGTTCCAGTTATCTTTTTTACGAATTGATGAAATACCGGTAAATATTGAACTATATGACATCATTATGTAATCCTCGTATGTGGTTTAGTCTATTAACTTTGAAATGCAGTACAATAGCTTCCATATGGCAGGTTGCTCAGGTTGCCACTACAACATACCCATTGTGAAAGTAAGAACTTGCACTTTACTGTAACAGATGTACGGTACAAATATTTTCTCCAGTATAGAACTACAGGTTCAGAACTCAACTTCAACTCTGCTGTAGAGACTGCTGAAGAAACAGTATCACAGGATGTGGAGTGGATTCAACCGAAGCTGGAGAGTTTTCATCAGTGGTTTAAGAAACTACTTTTAAAAGGCAATGTGTTGGTGTTATTCCAGATTGAATTGATGAAATGTCAGAGAACTTTGGTACCACTGTGTCTGGTTGAATCCTGGATGCTGTTGATAGATTTTTTCATGGGTTATGGCGAAGTGTAGACTGCTAGCACAAGTGGTGCATTTTGCAATGTGACGGCAGTTGGAACAATCAAATGCATTGACTGTGGCTTATCTCAGACACATTTACTACAAGTTGTCCTGTTATGATTAAGTTACAAAGTTTACTCCGCACACAAGTAGTGTAATTAATGTTTGCTTAATAAACTAGTATGAATGACATTGATAATAATTCGATTATACTTGACAAACTAAGATTTACCACTCTTGCTGTGCTCCTTAATAATCCTATTTGGGGGCTTGCAATTTTTTGCTCCTTTCTGAAATTTTGTTTGGCTATGTATTTGTAATGTCTAGGGTGCTCTACCTACCCAAACAGTCACTTACATTTGCAAATTTCCCATGCAGGTATTATTCATTCGCTGAAAAGATTTTATCACCCATGGTGCACCCTGACCTGGTTTGTTTGGCCCCACAGAGCTGACAGGGAAACTCTGTGGTGGACTGGATCTGGGAAGGACTCTGTCTCCTTGGTCAATTTCTGGCCTGACGAGCCATCCAGGACTCCCTGAGAGTACCCCATCAGACGTCTCCGGGGCCCGTCCTGCCATCATCTTGAGGTACGCCATGCCCTTTGCTCGACATAGCCCAGAGGCATTCATGCAGAATGCCAGCCAGCGTTCCCCAGGGACACCGAAGAGTACCACCTGCCATTAGACATCGGCCTAGAATACTACTTCTCCGGCGGCCCCCGGGCATTCTCTCTCTCGCCCATATACCAAAGTAAGTTGGCCAGGCCCCCCGCAAGTGCTGTGGCCCGCTCCACCTGGTGTGTCTTCAAGCCATGACACCCTGACACCCGCTAACCCCTTTTTGGCTTAACTTAACAGGGTTTTTACTTCTCCGGGTCTTCAAGTCGACCATCTGCAGCTCCGGCTTTTAACTGCATATCACCGTGTCATCAGACCTCATTTCTCGTGGTCCCTCTGCTCGGAATTCTGCAGCCCTCGTTGATCTCAACTGGCACTGCTCCTCGGGTGTTCTGCGGCCCTGGCTGCCACCTCCGCCGCCGGGCCACCTGCCACCAGGTGCTTTAAGCACACCGCGGCTTGGGCTTTTAATGGGCATCACTGGGTCATTGGACCTCATTTCTCGTGGTCCTTCTGCCCAGAATTCTGTAGTTCCCGTTGACCTCGATCGGGAATACACCCGGGCGTTCCGCGTCTCGCGGCCCCGTCTTCCACCTCTGCTGTCGGGCCACCTGGACATAAAGTCACCGCAGCCCACCCATGGCTCAGGGCTTTCAACTAGACATCATCGAACCTCATCTTTACTGGTCCCTTTGTCCGTAATTCTGCAGTTCCTGTTCTGGCAGACCAGGCCCTTCTGCCCTCTCTGGCCACAAGACATGGTTACATCGGACAGGGTTCCACATCAGAATCACACCAGCCGGGCGTACTCCCTCGGGAGCAGGCCGCTCTCCATGGGGCTGGCTCGGAATGAGGCACTGCCCTGTCCCCAACCAGGCAACCAGCACTGTTTTCCGAAGAGAATGAAGTTGATTCTATCAACGCCCTCACTCCGTCTGATTGCCGCCTGTCTTATTCAGCGAGACATGATGACAAGTGCTCAGCCTGCCGTTAGCCGCTTTGCCAGAGGAAAACATCAGCCATGACATAGCATGACTGGAATCTTGCAGACCAATTTTCCCAAAAATTCCAGTCGATCGTTCATGCGTGGTGATATTCTAGTCTCAAGCCAGAACTTGGCACATGTCCGAGTCCACTCCAGCCTGAGGGTCCTCCGCTCAACCTGCTAATCTACGGGCACCCTTTGCTCTTGACTATAGCATGGCCTTACTTCAGTTGAAGCAAAGTCATCGTGTGTTTGGTTGAGGATGACACTGATTTTATCTGCATCCTCACTGCCTATGACATTTTCCAGATTGCAGATCCTCCGTCAGCCTCCCTTTCGGAGGAAGATACCGACCATGCCCACCCCATGTCTTGAGATACTCTTGCTACGGGGCTCGCATTTGTGAAGGAGGCTCGTCGTCTTAGCGGACCACACCCCCTTGTAAGGCTGGAGTGGCCCCAGACAATGGCTTCTTGTCATCATCTTCCCTTTATCTTGGGCCTTCAGGCAGAATGTCTTGGAGACAACCTACTCACTTGAATACAATGGAACACTGTAATAACAGGGTCCTTGGAACTTTACAAATTTCCTATGTTATCAGTTATGTGAAAATAAATGAAAAAAAAATTCTTTGTCATAAATGACATTGTATTATAAATTAATTATAAATATTATAAATACTCGTCCTATTTGTCTTCGATTATACATGTATTGTTAGAGTCCTTCGGGCACCTCCTCAATGAACAAGAGTCACTACCCCATTTTTTCCAAGCGGCCATTACATGCAAAGGCGACCTAGCAAGCATATGACAATTGGGCATCCAGACGTAATCCACACTGTAGCACTTTCCGGACCAACTTCCCAGATCGCTGCCCTGGTGAATACGGCATCGGATGTGGACCCAATCACGAGTCTCAGTCACAGCCCTTTGGAGCTACTATGGCTTCCATCGGTAAGCCTGCCCAGGCCACAGGGATGTGAGTCCATGCTTTACCTGGTGATCTCTAATGATTGCTACAAGTCTAAACCAACCATCATTCGAGACAGTCTTACCAGGCACCAAAACAGGAACGAACAAATAACGTTTTCCAGGCTGACTTCCTTACATGTATCTTTTTCAGTTCTTTTGTGTCTCTCCAGTCTGCATCCCCCGGCATCTGAACGTTCTTCAAGCCATTGGGATTTTTACACACCCCTTGGCACCCCATAATTCGGGTGCGAGAGAAATTTTTCGAATCTATTTCTACTGCGTCTCACAACGTACAATTCTTTGATTGGCAGAACAACCATTTTCTAGTCCCCACGTATGTGCCCCAGGCCACGTAAACACAGATATTGCCCTGTGGCCCTGCCATAATGCACACTGTTCACTTCAAAGTGGGCGTGTCCAAAATCTGTTCGCTGTGACTGTTACAAGGCCTGTCAAAAGTAGGCCTGTTGTGAGTTGCCTATATTGTTGCGATAGTTTCGCGGGCTTTCTCTTCCAATACTAACGCTCAGCGTGATCAAAACAAAGAGAGAGAGAATTTTGTCAACCCTTTTCATTTCTTTGAATTCTTTATTAGTACTTGGCACAATTTCGGACATCAAAATGTTTTTTTTTTTGTCCGGGAGATTTTCTTTGAGGGGAAATTACTAATTTCACCCAGTTTCTTTATTATATCCATGTTAATTAACTTGTGCTAACCTTTAAACATTTGACAGTGAAAACCCAGACAAACTTGTGGTTTCTTGATGTTTTTAAATAGACTTATTGACATGTACTGATGACAACTTTGAGTACTATTTGGCTGCATGCCTAACACAAAATGCACTGAAACACATTGATTTGCACATTTCAAATTCTAAATAAGAAATGTGAAAAGCCTGATGTTTTGATCCCGTACCAATCTGCTGAAATTGAAAAATTATACCCTGTTTACCTTTGCGAGTGGCTCTGAGATGACCGTTTCGATCTCAACATTTCAGGCCACTTTAATCAACAAGCAGTTGTTTCTGAAACTCAAAATAGTATGCTATGTTTATGTAATGTTGTGAAATATTCCATCCGCAACCTTCTGAAGGAAGTCCACGTTATTGAGAAGGACCCCTTGATGGCAGCTGCAGAGGCTGAGACCAACACAGATGCCCTCAGCTAGCCCTTGGAGAGCGGTCATGGACATGGAGGGCTGGGATATGGACTCTCGCCAACTCGGCCGCTTTGGCCTATGGCTCCTGATTGAGAAGTGCAACCCTACAGAGAGGACACCTGATGAGGCGGAGGGGCACTTGCTCAGCATGGCCTTCCAGTGGTTTGAGTTTACTGCCACGCCGGCTCAAGGTAAGTCTGGTGCCTTTCTGCATGCAGTCTCTGCCCTGAAGTAGTTGCTGCTTGGTCATCCTAATTCCAGGCTTTCTGATCCAGGTCACGTTTACTTTTGTTGCTACTTCTTGAAGAATAACCAGCTAATTTGATTCTTAAATAGACAGAGAGATTTGAATTTGTCAATCCATTTGTTCCAAAGGGACTTTAATCTTAGCCTGAAAACTCTGGAAGATTTTGAATTCAGTTCCAATATCATTCCAGTACATCAATTTGAAAATTTGCAAAACTTTTTTAAAGAGCAACCCCAACTGTGGTGGAAAAATGGGGAATACAATTTAATATTCTTAACAACGTACTACCGTGGAAATGAAACACATCATAACCTACAGGACCTGGTTTTGTTGATACGTTTTCGTACAAAGGCCTGCACGCCTGAGCTGCCAGCCTATAACCTGACACTTTTTTGAATAAAGTAACATTTTAACGTAAAAACATTCAAAACATCTGTCTTTCTCTCTGAACTTACCATGCCATATTTGTCACATGATCCTGGGCCCCATATTGTCAGCCCAATCGGCGCTCTGGTGGCACGATGGGTTCGAAGGGGTAAGGCTCTTCGCCTTGGGCTTGCGACTATGTAACTACACACGTAATACTTTACTACATGTAATTATGTGCATTGATGAGACCGCACCCGCTTAGTATATATGTACATGCACCATTTGGAGAACCGTTTTCATGGTGCTATGTCGACAAAATCCTGGAAAAGCGGTATTCATGAGATGTAAATGAAGCAATGACAACATGCTCCTTTCACGAAAGGTAGCCATGGCGCTCAGCAGAAACAGGTTTCAAAAGTGAGCTTTTTTAACCAAAAATATTGCTGAATCCAGGTTTATATGGCATAGATGTCTATAATGGGATCCAAGTAAACATACTACGGCCAGATGTCTTATTTTCTGTTGCCCTTTAAAGGATGCAATATATGTACATTGCTATTCCAAATGCCACTTCAAATTGGTAGGTTTTCTGGAAATGGACATTCCAAAGTGTTGTTCAGAAATACTGAAGTCGCTTCATTCAATGAGCATTTTGAACCTTCAGAAGCATCACAGATCTCCGTGAAATCTCAAAATGGTTAGAAATCAACCCAATGTCTATTTTTCAGCTGTTTCTTATGGATGTACAAAATTCTGCCTCCAAGGGAGGTAGACCTTATTTTGAAGTATTTTCCACCGGCCCAAAGTCAGTTCCTACGGTTGTATTTTGCCCTGTTGAAAAATTTGGCACCTTGATGGGACTTTTCCTTGTGATTGTTTCCCTCGTGATCTAAGAGATCTTCCCAAAGTTCACAAAGAGGTATATAAGGGTTATTTTAATGTAAATACTAATCAAATATCATATTTGAGTGTACAATATCTTTTACAGTTACAGTCTGTGCAGCAGGATAGCTGAGCTTCTTGAAGGCTTTAGGAAGGTCTTCAGTCTGGCACCTTACAGCGCAGTAATATTTGAGGTGAGCTGCTGCATTGGTTGGGGTTTTTAACGGTTAAACAGCTACAAAAAATTAACCCCGAAATTCTCTTCAGTGAAGTTTTGTTGATTGCACTGGAAGGACACACTGTACACCAAGCAAGGCATGTGCCTTACATTGTGACACAAAAAAAGACAACTGAAATAGTCAAACTTTGTGTAACTATAATTCTCGATTGGCCCACTGAGGATCCAGAATTACTCTCTTAGAACATTGTAATGGTGACTGAATACATGATCTTGGGTACACATCCATATTCAGGGTTTGGTTGGCACTGTGTGTTGCATTCATTGCTTGCCTGATTTAGAATTACTCTTGGAGCATTGGAATGGTAACTCAGTGATCTTTGGTGCCCTATTATTTTGGTTACTTCCCAGTCATCTTGTGAATATTTGTTAGAAATTTGATCTCTAATCAGTGGGTCAACTCTTGTTATTGATGATGATGCTCTTGCCAATTATCTGTTGATAATTAGATGACTACCAAGTTTGTGTGCAATGCAAAAATCAGCAGATAGCCTGTCAGAGGTTACAAACACAGCATATTGATATTTGTTTTCTTTGCACAGTCTGCTTTAGTTCATAGCGCCCTGTGAAATCATACTTGTAGAATAAATGTTGGGCTATATTAAACTGCATGTACCTATAAATGTGGTTGGCAGAAACGTTTTAATAGCTGTACAGCAACAAAGCCGCCTGGACTTATCAGAGCTCTACCAGGAAAATATTTCATGTTTGACAGTTCCACAAACTGGGTTGCATATCACAGCATACTACGATCATGCTAGAGACCATCCCTGAGAAAGTCACCAAAGTGAGTCAGTTGCAGCAGCAGCATTTCAGTACAAAACTCTTGTGATTTCTCCCTCTTTGCAGGTCCTAGTGCGTTGTCTAGAGTTCCAGTGGGACTGTGTCATCGAGGATCGTGTCATGATCCTGAATGCCCTCTACAAGCTGCAGCACTTCTTGTCTGACATGATAATCCTGTCCTGGGAGTTCTTCATGAACAGACTGGATACCTTGGCCTTGGAGGCTCATGTAGAGATGGAACAAAGTAGGGAGTTGCCCTTCCCATCAGTGGATTCCCTTATAGGGGGCCAAATACCAGGGCCCAATTTCAGGGGGCTGCTAACTTGAAGCAAATGACTTTATGCTTACAGAGGCGCCATGTTTTTTCAGTGGAAAAATTTGCTGAGCTAATATGAGGTAACAATAATAATTTCTATGCGCATGCAACCGGTAGCCCAACCACGCCAAGCACTGCCATGAAACAGTGCTTGTGGTGAGCAGAATTTATGCTAGAGTAAAGTACGACTTTTCTGCTCTTAATTAAGCAGTGCTGTGAAATAGGGCCCACTTTGTATGGTGTACCATGCATTATACTAGTCAGATGACAGGGATTCGCTTAGGCATTTTACAGTGTGGTACATGCAGGTCAGTTGAACTTTTACTAACGTGCCTCCCTTCTTTCATCTTTCACTGCCTTTCCAAATCTAAACCGTTCAGAGACCAGCACATGTGACTGCATGGACATCTTCCTGAAAAAGCAGACCAGGGTGCCGGTTGCTCGGTCTCAGTCAGAGACAAAAAGCTCCATCAAACTACACTGCCTTTCCTTCAACTTGAAGGCAGATTTCAAGCATCACAGCATGTCATCCCTGCAACTGCAAACAGATTTGGCCGCATCCAGTTTACACCGATGAGTTCAGTTTTAAATCTGTTACTGGCTGTTCAAGAGGACATTAACTTACTTCAGACATCATTGTCACCCTTTACTTCGTGATAGACCTCATGCTTGAGTACCCTCTTTACCCTACAAGTATTGTCCCCAGGCCTTCAAAATTCACCGGCTGGTTTGGACAGATTTTGATTTATTCAGAAAGGTAAAGAACCCTGCCACTGTTACTTTGCATAGGACGAGATTTCCCTCAAAAATATATATGTGCCATTAGTTCCTGCACAGTGGAGGATCTGGGTGGTTCGTGTTTGTGGGGTAGATGGGTCGGCAAACACTCCTTCCACCCCTTCCATCATCCCTACTCCCTCTAAACTAACAAAAAGGAAAAAGTAAATAGGGCAACCATTTAAAAATGACACAAGCAAGAAAATGTAGACAAATTTATAAAAAGCACCAATTCTGTTAAAAATATGTTGAAATGGATCTCCTCTTCACCCTGAATGGTTTATCTGGTTTAGGTAATAATTGCTTTGCTAACTCAAGACACGTATGCCAGTATTAACATTGTAACACGTACGTTTTTCTCTCCTGGCAGATTTATCCATATTACCTGCTCAGAATCTGTTGATGAACAGTCCATTGGACCCTTAAACGTGTACAGTCCTTTTCTAGAGTGTATCACCTGCTTTCTTGGTAGGCATATTGCAATATGAAATTATTGCTTGCTGACTGAGTCCAGCCAGGTTTGTGTCATTTGAACCTAGGCTTTGCTGTCTCTTGAGTCTTTGTAAACCAGTATCTCGCACACAACTGAGCACCTTTTATACAAAATGAATGGCAGTGAATACTACAGATGGACCCGGTGTTAGTTGGAATGGGTTATGTTGGGCTGCTCCTGGCCCTGGAAGGCTGAATTGGAGATGGGGATGTTCTGTTGGAATGGGTTTTGGGGCTTGGCTTGGTAGGGCTAGTTTAATTTCCTAATCCTTTACCACTTGCTGCCAGGGTTCCTGGTACCAGAGACCTTCAAGGCTGCATAGTCATTGCCAGGGTGCCCGAAATTGCAACTTTCTTTTGAGAAAAATGAAGTTGCTGGGTGTTTGTAAAGATAGTTCACTTGCTGTCAGTCAAAGTTTAGGCCACTAGATGAGATAATTCCGTCACTGATGGGCAACAATGGGAGCCTTCCCAGGGGTTCAAGAACTTGACCTTTATTCATGGCCGGGTTGACAACTTGACTGTGAACTGCTGGGACTTGCCGCTGACTCTCGGTCACGTATTCTCGATCTCCCGCACATCGCGCACGCGTAAAGTCTCCATTGCGCGTAAACACACTGACTTAAGTCCTAATTTAATTATCCTAAATTGTATGGGATTTTTATATTATAAAATACCAGCAGCCGATTTCACTAAACTCGTCTTATCTTGCAACTCATCTTAGAATTTGGGACTAGCCATACGATCGATCTTAGCTAAGACGCGCCCTAGGATCGATTTCACTAAACGCTTCTAAGGCAAGACGCATGCATAATATCGTTAAATATTTTGCTCATTATTAGACGAGGATGACCCGTGTTCTATGCACGGCTGTGTCGTGTTTGATGAAGATATTTCCTGCGATATGCTCAACAGCCGTTGGTAGCTTTGCACGGTAAATTCAAGATGGCTGATTGGGTGAAAGACGCCCGGCAAAAGTTCGTCTGCTCTTCTTCAACACACGTAAGTATATATATAGTATACGTTTCTAGGGAAATTTGGTAGGTTTCAGTGTGTTCCTCGTCATCGTTTATGTTGTGTGCAGTCGGGTCGTATGAATCGCTAGATTGCAGTTTCGCATTTTTTAACTGGCGTCACATTTTTTGACCGGGCATCGCATTTTTCGAAAGGCGTCGCATTTTTCGACCGGCATCGCATTCTCTAACGGGCGTCGCATTTTTCGACCAGCGTCGCATTTGTTAGTCGGCGTCGCATTTTTCAGCCAGCGTCGCATTTTTTAACTAGCGTTGCATTTTTCATTATTTCATCGGAAAGACCTATATATGGAGGCCAGGATCTCATCCATCACCGGTACCGCCAGCTTATTATAAAACGCTCGAAAACTAGTCTAATAAAGAATGAAGTTATCTGTTGTGGAGATTCTCACACGTACGGCAACATTTGTCACAGAAAAAAGAAAATTAGATAGAAACGCATGTACATGTACGTGTAACCCCAGGGTCGTTCAAGAAGCAGCAGCTACGACGAAACAGCTTTTTCAAACAGTGACACTTTTCAAACCCAAATCCACATGCAGTCCTCAAGACCTTGGGAAGTCATTTTGTTGAGTTATAAACACAAGCCCCCCCCAAGAAAGATAAATGATCTCAAGCCCATGACCAGACGGCCTCCACCGGGGGAATGCCTGAACCACGGACCATTGCCTGAACTTCAAATGTGTGAAATACCTTTCTACTACTGTAATGAAAAAGTATGATCAGTCTTGGTTTCCGCTGGACAGATTTTCATGGTTCAAAAAGTGTTTTCGGGAACTTTGCGTGATTTTGTATTGCTGACAACTTCTTTTAACCAAGAAAACGTAAAATTTCTCAAAGTTATGGTGCATTTCTTTGCCAAGAGTAGTGTGGCGGGACAACTGACACCTTTTTGTGGCTGACCAGCAGACTGGCCTGATCGAAGATAGAATTGACCTGGCCTAACCCCACAAATATATTTATTTAACCTTATGCAAGAATGAGCGGCTATCCAAATGCAAGGGGATATCAGTTAACGAACGGTGGACTATGCCTTAGGGGCTGTGGAAGTTTACTACCACTCTGTGATTAGGTAATTGATCCCAATGCCAATAAAGATTACAATAAATGTCAATAAGTGATACAGGACTGACTAAATCTCACGGTGACCAGTGATTTCCAAGGCAATTATATGATTGGTTTATTCAATGTCAGTGCTCAGTTATCTGTTATATACAACAGCAATTAACTATATACAAAATTATCCTCACAGGGAGGTAGTCCTACGTGGTCAACTGCACTACGAACGTGATTGATAGGCCTTATCGTTAACCTACACCAGAATAACCCTCACGGTGATCAGGGTAAACCTCACAGCGATCAGGGTAACCCTCACAATAACCAGGTAACCCTCACAGTGATCAGGGTAACCCTCAAGTCTAAATAAATAATCTACCGATGGCTTAAAACTGATAAGCCTTGACCACTCAAGCAAATACAATCTTCATAAATGTACAACACAACGGTGTGGACTCGTACAACAATAATCTATACTGCCTTACGAAGCAATACAGTTCCCAAACTGCAACAAGGTTTAAGGTGACTTAGATAACCCTCACCCACTTCAAGTTATTACGAAATAACACAGGTAAGTTGATTAAGAAGGCGATTATAATAGTCCTCACCAGACTCTAATGGAAACCTGCACCCAGTAAACCTCAACGAGGAAAGGAAGCTCCCAGACCAGGACCGCAACCAACCGTCGCTATGCCAACAAGCATGGAACAACGGTACACAATCCTTCTAGTCTAAGCTCCGCTAATTCCCGAATTAACTGGTTCACACGGGTTCCCTAACCCTATAATCTACCACTTCTTAAACGAGACTGTCTAACAATTCCCTAATCTTCAAAGAGATCTGATATAATCGGCAGCTCCGGCAACTGAGAACAAGCACCACACTCTGATTGGTATGGTATTTGCCATCTTGCAGACATGCTTCACGAGGGAGCGTTTATCGCAGTACGGTCTATAATTTAAAATGTAATTACTGTGGCGAAACAGGGTAGCTGTGCAAAATTGTGTTTAGTCTGGGTCATTAATAATTCAGGCGCGTCTAATTCATGCATTAAACATGCGCGCGGCAACCAATCACAGGCGCGCATTACCTTAGGTCTGGGCGCTGGCTGCGTGGGTTGCCAGGACTTCTCAAGATGGCAGCGCACCAGGTACACTTGATCCCCAACCATCAGTGGTCGTACGTCAGATTTACACTCAAAACTCAGAACACAACACAACTCCACAGAGCTCTGGTTAGCACGCTGCCATCTTGTACAGTTACGAAGATTGTATTTGCTTGTGTGGTCAAGACTTATCAATTATAAGCCATCGGTAGATTATTTATTTAGACTTGAGGGTTACCCTGATCACTGTGAGGGTTACCTGGTTATTGTGAGGGTTACCCTGATGTGTTACCTGCCGAGAAGCAGAACGCAAGACAGAGATCAACTCATGGCAGACCCACCGAAAGAGAGATTGGCACCACACGCCCCACCATTTCACTTCACAGCATATGATTACTTTGGCCCATACCAAGTGAAGATCGGACGAAACAAGACGGCAAAACACTATGGCGTCATCTTCACCTGCCTGAATACACGAGCTGTGCATCTGGAGCTAGCTCCTAACTGCTCCACCATGGAGTACTTACAAGTTCTCAGAAGATTCTTTGCAGTACGAGGTTATCCAGGTCTGATGATCAGTGATAATGGGACGCAGCTAGTGGGAGCTAAGCGAGAACTGAGGCAGATGATAGAAGGCTGGAATGCCGACAAATTGAAGGAATACTGTGCAGAGAGGAAGATGGAATGGAGGTTCATCACACCTACCGCACCACACCAGAACGGCTGTGCAGAGTCACTTGTTAAGAGTTGCAAAGCAGCACTCAAGCATGCAGTTGGAGCACAGATCCTGACTCCCTTCGAACTTTACACAGTGTTACTCAAAGTTGCAAACTTGATCAACCAGAGACCTATCGGAAGGCTCCCCAACGACCCTGATGATGGGGCCTACCTGTGCCCAAACGAGATTCTACTGGGAAGGACATCAAACACCGTACCCCAAGGACCCTTCCAGGAGACAAAAAACCTCGACACCGAGTGAGTTTGTCCAGAGGATCGTAGATGCATTTTGGAGACGCTGGACCAGAGATGTGCTACCACTTTTAGTACCTCGCAAGAAATGGCGAACAGAGAAGCTGAATGTCCAAGTTGATGACATCGTGACTGTTGCTGACCCAAACCCGGTACGAGGCAGATGGTGTATAGGCAGAATCCTGGAAGTCTACCCAGGAACAGATGGCAAAGTGCGCAACGTCAAGGTGAAGAAAGCATCAGGAGAACTGCAGAGATCTATCAACAAGATTGCAGTGCTCTACCCTTCAGAAGGCTATGAGGACTAAATCCTCATGGGGCTGAGGATGTTCCAGTGTGCCAGGCAAGAATTCTGAATAGCGCCGTCACTAGTTTGGAGCTTTGTAACCAGACCATGCTTGTCAGACATCTTTTCTTATGTTTTCTCTTGAAAGAGTTTTGTCCAAAATGTGACACAGTTTTCACCAGTTTTTACCAGACCAACGTTAGACAGTTACCGAGAGGAGTTTTGCCAAAGAAATCGAACAAAAATGGCTGAGTAATTAGCCCCATACGATTCACAAGACTCCTCGAGGCTGGGATGCGTGTTGTACTTCTGAAGATCCAATGCATATTTCTTTAATATAGGACTTTAACTTGTATTAGAAAAGGTAATTTCGAGATGAAAATTGTCTTTAGTATAAATATTTTGTTTCATTTTATTCATCTGCAATTCCTTATTTGACTGTGCCGAACCAACTTTGTTGCCTGGGTGTCCATAGTCTGTGGCGACAAGTTTGAGCGTGCATGCTGCATCTCCATCAGTGCGCTGAACATGTCAAAGAATTTATTTGTACCAAACCCCATTGGAGGCATCCGGGTTTTTTTTTTATAACGGTGTAGAAAAACGGTCATGTTGAAGGGAAGGATTTCCTTTAAACGACTACAGTCTGAAGTTGAGACCTGTACGCGTACGTGTACATTTCAGGAAAACTCCATGTTTAAGGTTGGAGCTACAAAATAAATCGTTGTCATGGTTATGCATGATTTTTAGGGGTGTTAATTTGAGGAGATCGTGGCGCAGTTTGTGCATTATATTAAGCGTGTTCGCATGCAGGATCCACAACAGGATTCACAGCCCCAAATGGGAATCATTTTCCAGAATCTCCATGAAACAATGGGCTGGTGAACACATTGAAAATAGGACGAGTGCTTCAATAATCCTTGTAGATAATAGAAACGCTGGATAGCTTTAAATTAAACTGTTCCTCATGATAAACACCGCCTCCCTTTTAATAAATGGAATAGGCGAACGGGCCGACGTACAATGTACGCACAGCCAGTTGTTCAGGGTTCATTATGAATGTTATGCTGGTGTGCCCAGTGAATACCCGGTTCACCCGGCCGGGTCGCCCTCATGGCCCACGCGCTGCATGCCGCATTAGCGATAAAAAAAATTCATTCCCTTGCCAAGTTCACTGACACGGCTCACCCCACGTACAGCCGAAGCGCTGCTGCAGATGAAAACCTCGGTGCAGCGGCCATTACGTGCACAGTGCCAGCCAGAGTTTTATAGGACGACACGCACTGTTTCAGCTTTCTGAAAACATGGCTGACGAGGCTAAAGTTTCATCTGGCGAGTCCAGTTCATCCAGTGACGGGAGTGAATTTTGGCCAAGTTCAGACGAGGGCTCTCCGTGTCCTTCACCTGCCCAAGTAAACTTGAGTACAGATTTATGTTGGCCTATAGACAGTGATGTACCCTTGGCGATATACGCCAAGCGAAAGAGGGATTCCCCGGCTACGCAGACCGCTGCATCGACAAGCACCAGTGCCGCATCGTTCCAGTGGAAGGATGAGGACAGCGCACCGATGAGGTACGGCTTTACCGGTAATGGTGGTGCCGTCGACCCCTGTCTACATCGCAGCTCCACCTGCAGTGAGTCGTTTGGGGCGTTTTTTGATGACGAACTGTATGACAAGATCACCCAAGAAACCAACCGATTTGCCTCACAGAGACCCGTCACGACATCGGCACACATGAGGTCATGGACTGATGTGAATACCCGAGAACTGCGGGCCTTTCTGGGCCTTTGCATCATGATGGGTATCACAAAACACCCCACTATTCACAGCTACTGGTCGACCGATCCACTGCTGAAAATGAGCCTATTCCCGTCCATCATGCCCCGAGACCGCTTCCTTGCCATTCTGCAGGCCCTGCATTTTAACGACAACAGTGCCATGCCGGAGGACTGCCCTGACCGCCTGTTCAAGTTACGTCCTGTCATCGACTATCTCCTTGAGAAGTTCTCCAATGTGTACACTCCACAGCGGGACATTTCTGTCGACGACTCCTTGTTAAAGTTCTACGGGTGTCTTCGCTTTACTACCTACAACCCAAGAAAGAGGGCCCGCTTTGGTATTAAGCTGTACAAGTTGTGCCAGAGTACCGGGGATGCCGCCGGGTACTGCTACAACTTCAAGATATACACCGGCCAAAGTAAGGGAGACCTTCCAGCAAATACACAAGTGGTAATGGACCTTGTGGTCAATCTAAACGGTAAGGGATACAACCTTGCCCTCGACCGGGCCTTCAGCAGTCCAGATTTGTACCGCCGACTTCACTTTAAGAAGTTCAACGTCGTCGGTACTGTCATGCCCCACAGAAAGGGCATGCCCGAAGACCTCAAGTCCGTCGAACTACGGCGTGGCGGAACAGCGTACCAGACGGCTGACCTGGGTGTGAATGGTTCGCTCCTAGCAATGGTGTGGAAAGACAAACGGAACGTCCGCATGCTTTCCACCATGCATAGAGCAGATATCCGTGGCACCGGTAAGCGAGACAGGACAGGGGCAGAAAAGAAGAAACCAGCTTGCGTCCTCGAGTACAACGCCCTGATGGGGGGCGTTGACATCAGTGACCAGCTAGCGGCAAATCACAGAGCAACTCGCAAGTCCATGAAGTGGTACAAGAAGCTGTTCTTCTACTTGCTGGATATGACCCTGGTAAACAGCTACTGTATGCACCGGGTTGTTGGTCACCGCCTTTCCTTCCTCGACTTCCGCCTGCAGCTCGTCCGTGAACTTCTCTTCGACGAGCCCTTGCCCGAGTATCGACCCCAGCGCGATACTCCACCAGCCACGAGCTCCCGCTTCGTTGGCCGTCACTTTCCTGTTACCTTGGAGAGGAACAGCTACGGCGACTACCACTACCGGCGATGTGTTCTCTGCTCTTCCAAAGGGCAGCGAAAAAAGACGCACATCGAGTGCGACTCGTGCCACCAGGCCCTCTGCATCGTCCCCTGCTTCCGGGACTACCACACCGTACGCTAATGGACAGTTGAAATCGGCCTTTTCATCGACGTTATTTTTGTGTGTCCCCTTGAATTGTGTCACTAATTCTATCTCTTGAAAAATGCTAAGGGTAAAAGAAAAGTTTTTTACTTGTTTCATGAGTTGCAGCTTTAACTTTTCATCTCTTGAAAAGAATGCAGAGAGTGAAAGTTTATTTTACTTGTTTGATGAGTTGCAGTATTTCAATGACGACGAGAAATGATGAGTGAAAGAAGTTCTTTGTCACCTAAAAAGCTTTAGGTATTTTTATTTGGTGGCTTGTGCAAGTTTAGGATTGCATAACATTGCTGGTCGTAGTCGTTAAGATCCATTGGTCAGTCACAAAAAGGGGTTTAACTTATTAATGGTGCGTCGTTAGCGGGAACACTTCTTGTCCTATGTTTTTGGGATTGACGTCGTCTTGTGGGTCCATTGTTTTCTTGGGCACAGAGCATTTTCTGCTTCGGGTATAGCCGAGATATTGCCGCGGCATACAGCTGTATGTGCCGCAGTGATTTTCAAAGCTATAGGCCAGTTCTGTGCAGGCCAATTTTTGTGATGAATTGGATCAATTTTTTATATCATCGTGCAGTTTGCAAAAGCTGCATATTATGTAATTTTTATGCGGTGCGGGGCATGCACAGGCGCCTTCCCGATCAGCCCGTAGGCTAAGCAGTGAAGTGTCCAGACTACTGTGATTGTATTTCACGGTTGTTATTATTTGCAATTCCCGAATGGCAACATTATCATATCATCTTATTTTGATGACGAAATTGAGGAGTTGTAGATGTGTTATATCGCCTTGTAGCTCTAGACGAATCTAAAAGGCCGTTATTTGTGTAGGAAACAGACTACACACGAAATTGAATAAATGTTTGTAGATTGCAAAAGTATTGTAATCCTTTCTATGGACAGCTTGGAACGAACGCATTTGAAACTTTCGACAGTTGTCTGTGCAGTGTTAACGCAGAATTGAATTAGGCGCTATAAAATGCGAAATAATGATTTACATAAATGACCAACTGATCAGGAGTGGGTCGAAGCATGGAACTTCCTCCATGGTCGAAGTCACCCGCGCTTCGTCCAGTCTTGTACTCGACTGGACGAGTCTAGGAGTTGCCCTTGTCAGGGTTTGGTGCTGTGAGCCAAGTAGCCTTTCATCAAGGCCTTCGTGGCTGTCTGTGAGAGGAGACCGCATACACGAGCGGCTCAGCACGAGGGCCTTTTCCAACTTGTCAGGAATTTCTTATGTTTTTCTTTATGTTTTCGATTTTTGCTACCCCGGGCCGTTAGGGTAGCAAAAATGCCAACCAATCATAAGCGAGGGGATCTGCATACATTAACCTATTATGCAAACTGAAAGTATAAGAAAGATGGCGAGCGTGTTAAGTGCGTCGGCGGCCGTCACGTGAGTGCAGGTCAGTTGTCTGAGCAGTATTTTGACAGTTCTGCTGCTGGAAAACTTCACCTTGCCGAGCTTAAACTGTTGCAGTGTTTAGGCTATTGAAGTATATGTACGCGGGCGTGACGTTTTCGTCTCTGCCCACGGGATACGGTAACACTAAGAGTAAGACGGGCTATATTTCAACAGCTGCTGTTAACCGTTTTGCTTTGACCATTCGGCCTTGTTGAACTGCTACTTGCTCGTGTTACTCCAACGTCAGTACCATCCCCACCAACAAGCATCATAGTTGTTATCTCACCGCTTATTATTGCCCTCTTGAAAAACCAGATGGAACATTGCGTAAGCTTAGGAGTTGATGCCGTTTATTTTGGAGAGTCTATGCTTCAACTGTTTACGTGAAATTCATGAATTATGCACATATAAGGAAGCATATGAATAACTTACCACAGTTGTCAACACCCTCAAAATCAAGTTGGAAAAGGCCTCGTGGCTGCGCTACTCGCCTGGTCTCGTCTCCAGTAGCTTTGAAAATAGACAATAGCATTAACGAGTACTTTGATCTTTGCTGAATCGCAAAGGCCTAGTTATAACTAAATGTATCTATCTTAAAACGTGAATCTGCCACATGAATAATTGTGTTCATTGTTTGTAATGATCTTTATTGTGATTTTACTTGTGTATATCTTGGGTGTAATAAAGAATGGGTAAAGTGTTCGTGTATTTTTTTAAGTGAGCAAAAAATGGATTTTTACTTTAAGGTGTATTTGTAAACAATGATAATAAATCAAATCTATCAATTTGCCTGGATTGGGGCTGTTTCATTATGTGGGAACACTTGTTAAGGACAGGTTTAGACTTTTTCAGCTCCATTTTGTCAGTCTCAGTTAAATTTATGCAGAGTTCAATTGCAACATTTCATTTTCCAATATTTCTTTTATACTAGAATTGCGAGTTGAATCTTCTCCCCTTGGCAGGCAGAAAGGTGAGAAAAACTTTATTGATATGCCTTCATTGGCACTAATGTGAGCTTATAAATATACAACTGGGTGCTTGTGTCATGCAGGGATTTTATTTCAGAATAAGAATGCTTACAGTTTTAACATTTTCATGCGGCCATTTCTGTGGTGAATGCTGGGTATTTTGAGAATATACACATTACTTCTATACTTGGCCCCACAAGGCGGTCAGACTTAAGCAGTACTTTTATGTTATTCAGAGTCTACTAAATTGAAGCATATCTGATGCCTTTTGCTAAGAAGGACAAGTTGAACATGCTTGTTTGGTGTACTGAAATGTAACTTTTGAGTTATTTCCAGCAATAATAGCCATGACACTTGTACATAATGCCGTAACCTTTGGGGATTAAGAATCCCCCTTACATCCCCCTCCCATGTAATAAGATGGATCTTGGTAGCCTGTAACACCTGAAGTCAAGCTGTAATGCCACGGATCCGTCCAAATGCGCTGTTTTGGAATATAAACTCACATCTGTACTTGTCGGGAGTATTGAACTACTTCTAACATGGAAATGAATTAACCACTTGACGCCGGATGACATGTAAACGCAATTTTCTTATTTGTTCCACGGAGGACATGTACACTCGTTTACGAATTCTTTTGCCATATCCGCTGTTGACCTATTAAAGCATTGTTAGGTCAAAGCACAATTGCAAAGTTGAAGGAGTTGTGGGTGAAAAACCTGCCCCTGCAGCAGCTTCGGGCAAGAAAATCCGACGTAGAATGTAATAAAAGAGTGCGGTAATTAAGTTGTAAATAATCTACTACAAATTCAAGGGGAACATCGTACAAATCTTTTTTCCTATTATCCATTATTGGTCAATATGAAAAGTTGATACGCTAGCAGTTACAGGCTTGTTATCCATCGACAGTTGATATGTTATTGGTTTGAAGTTGTACAGCATTATGGTGCATTTGTGATGGTATGATCGGATGTAACAGGTGGACACTAAATAATCACACCTGGTCTGCTTTTTTTCCCATCGTAAACCAAATCACCCATCAGATCGGCAAGGAAAGGCTAAAGAAATATCGGATGTCATTCTTTTCCTTGTCATTTGTGTGGGAAATGCATTGCCTCATAAGAAAGAGGTTCAATTGGAAGGGTGGAAGTAAATTTCATTTACCCGAACACCTTTATTAATGTATTTTGTATTAATCTTCTAATGGATATTTAAATCAAAGTTAACAATTAGGATATCTACAAATGATTTATTTCATCATTTTATATTACTTCTCACATTTTGAAACATTAAAACATGCTTATTTCTTACATATATGTATACTAGTACTCGTTGATAGGCAAGACAGCACCGATTGCTTGTTGACCTACGGAGGTATGTCAAGCGAAACATCTACACAGCAGAATGTCCGTATAAATTCAACGTTAATTTCTATAGCACTATACGAGTACATTGCACAGAGTAACCTCAAATATGGCGTCTACCTCGTGAACATTTTCAAATATTGTTTAAATAAAAATTAACTATCAAACATTAATGGCAAAATAGCATACACAAATAAAAAACTCGGAGGAAGTTAACTTCTGAAATCTGTACCACGGTACTATTTATGTATTTGTCTTATGGCAGATGATACAATTAGCCCCGAATGCGACCAAGAGAGGGCGCAATTTTCCTAACGAGATGCTACTATGGGAACTAGACTTCACAAGTTCATGAACGACTATGCCTTGCAGCGGCTTAGCTGACAACAAAAATGAACGATCACTACCAAAATTTTTAAATGCTTTTCAACTAATGAGAGCGCTCAAGGTGGATAAGCAACATCTTCGGCCATAAATTCAAATATGACTTCAGTTGGTGTCCAAATCAAATTGTTAAAAAAATGAGGCTACAGGTTCCGAACAAGCCAATGGAAATGGCTGCCTAATCAAGCTCTTTCCCCTAATATTATGACGGTGCAGAAGATTAAATATTCCTTGTGTATTCCTTAAATGATAAATAGTTTTTTATATTCTGTGATACCATTAAATCATATGACTCTTACACAAGCTGTAAATTCACCCCCAAAATTCAACGAAAACCTACAGTTGGACAATAAGGACTTCAAGGGATGGATCAAGAAAACACTACGAACAATGCAACGACACAGTACTCCACTGCTTTTAGATAGTCGCCTCAAAATTGCATCAACTTGAATGCACATACATGCAGCATTAGCTTACAGATTAAGGTGGCAAAGAGTACATGTAAGTACAGAATACATAAACACCGTTAAATATACTGTGTAGACTCTGCTGGACTGGTTTAAATTGCTCATTTGCTTTATGATTTTTAAACTTAGATTTCATTTCCTTCAGCCCTTTGAAGACTTTTTGATAATAAACTGAAAAAATACAATATCAGTAGCAAGGCTGAACTCAAATAGCGAAACATTTTGATCAACTTGTGATGAGGCATGCTGTGAAATGAAAATGTTTCCAATAATCAGCAATACGCTAATTTTGTGTCGTTCCAAAAGCAATGTGGTCCTTTTACATTATACAAGCAAATGAGACCATGTGCTACCCATCCAGACTGAACTTGGCTGCTTTGCAGTTTCAGACAGTATAGAACTGTGCCGCTGCCGAAGACTGGATCTCAATCTGACCCATCTTGAACTGCAGTCTCTTCAGCCACTTAAGCAGCACCGAGGAGTGGTAAGTGGTGACCTCCCCTTTGGTCAGACTTGGTGGGGCCCAGTTCTCACAATTCTGCAGGCGTACCTGTAGGCTGCCTGGAAGCTACATGTACCATGCAGAAAAAGGGGCATCAATATTATAATGTGTGAACCAATGACGGAACTTGCTGTTATAATAGACTTATGTATTTATACAGTCCCAAGCCGTCTAATTTATATTTGTGTACACCTGGCTTATAATATAAAAATACAACAGAAAAAAGGTATTTGAGTTTAACTTTGGTCTTTACTTCACATTAAATGCCAACACCAGGAATTAAAATAGAAAATATCTGTTTTTATCACAAAAATTTAAACAATATTACCTTGGAGGGGTAACTAAAAAGTATAGATGTCCACATTGGAAAAAGCTGCAACAAAGAAATGGATGAAAAATATCAAAATTACGAACATTACTTGAAAAGATATAATTTAAAAAAGCAATTCATAGGAAAAAACTTTTTAAACAGTCAAAAAGGCAACAAACTTATACATGTATGTTCCGTGCTGACTTAAAAGAGGGCACATTTGGTGCATTAATAAATGTGGTCAAAGAATACCAAACACCACATTCAAGAATCACTGTGTTGAGTTTAACCTTGGGTAAGACAGACAATGCAAGACTGAGCAACAAACTCTTGTTAATATGAATTGAATTAGGAGTTAACGAAGGACAGGTGCATGTGGTGACAGAATGAGACGGATTGGAGCTAATGACACCAGAAAGCAGTGAAGATGGGACGTACCTTGGTCAAAACGGAGGAGTTGCATTCCTGCAGTGCTTCCATTAAACTTAAGAAGTGAAGGTTGACCATATCTGCAAGCTGTAAAACAAAACAAAATTAATTATTTTTATTCCCCCCTAAAATAGATCAGAAAAAAAACATAACTTGCCAGCCAAAGACGAAAAATACAAACCCTTCTTTTGTGGCAGGGTTTAGATCGAACAACTACACCTGCAGGTGTAACTGCAGATCCAGTGTTCCCTTGATGAAGTTGAAGTCGCAAGGAACCTGCTAGCTTACCACTTTGGAGTGTGAGAGCAGCTGCAGCACGCCAGGCGTGACACGACCCCAAAAGTCCATGACGCTCATCATGGCTGTGTTGTGCTGGTCACTCTGGGGTGGGTTGATGGAAGCCATCTGCTCACAGTACATGGTCCATAACTGGGGACAACAAATGATCCATGCACAACATGCATTAGGAATGCTATGGTTTGGCCTAAACCATCACAATCTCCATTACATGAAAATCCACCTCAAGCACTCCTTCATCGGTTGGGAATGTTGGTAGTGATGCGACTGTGACGCGTGTACTTCCTAATTATTTATGAACCAGTAAAGTTCAGTTCTGGCCAAAGAAATAACCATGGCTTAGAAAATAGCGCCCTCTCTTGGTCCAGATCGAGGCCCATACAGTCACACTCTAAAGTAGACTTGATTTGGGAGGTGGGATGGAGCAGAGATAATGGTACACCACGCAGCACAGTTTCAACACCTTGTTTATGAATGTCCAAACCAAACTTACATGTTTTTGCTGGTGCGTGGGTACCTCTACACAGTGAACAGAAAGAATAGAAAAACTCCACTTCTACCCATTTCATTTGAAAGGATCAATGCTCAACTGAGGAAGCTCAAGGACAGACCAGGCAAACTTAGGGGAATATTACAAACAGTGACACCTGTACCTGGCAGAGAATGAAGGCATGGAAGAGGGACGACATGTGGAGAACTGATGCCTTGGACTGCTCAGCAAAGCCTGCCAGGATAACCTACAAATAAAGAGAGAGAAAGAAATAATTTAATGAAACGCTGCATTGGGAAGGTTTAAAGTTGACCCTTTATGGCACAATTCAACAAGTGCTCCAGACTCGATGGTGTCACTCCACACCCTGAGAAAACAGAAACACCCCATCCAGGTTCACAGATAGCACCAAGTGTGCACGCTCATCAGAAATTTTACCCCAAATACTGAAACACAGAGATTACCAAAATCCAAACTCAGCCTTATGTCTGACTAGACAATACGTCATAGGTTTCATATCATGGTGGACTGGCTGCAGGCAAGCTCAAACTGACTACAGGTCGAAGTAAGTGCTCTCTGAACCATTAACACAATGAATATACATTGATGCTTGAACAATATCTCTTTTCAGCTGACAAATTTGTGTTTCTGGAGGGAAAAGCATCATGGAAATCATCTTCAGTCCCAATGCTACATTCAAGCAACTGGTGACCTTGAAGTGTGTTGAAACTCTTGTGAAAAGCATAAATGGTGACTACTACTCTTAGTTAAGGTGATAGATACACACCAAAATGCATCCTTCCAAGACAACCTACACGTACCCCCATAAGACTCGCTGTAAGGCATAAAGCAAAATGAAGATTGAGTGAGCAATTCCCGACTAACCTGTACGTGATCAGCGATGTGGTTACCAGCGTCCAGTGGGATAGGGTGGCACACAATGCCAGTTACCGATGAATTGATGGGGCAGACAGCAGCGTGAGTCAGGGAACCGAGCAAGAGCCAGGACAGGAGGCGCACGTGAGCGATGCAGTCAATGAATTCCTTGGGTCTGAAGAAAAGGAAATATAAAGTCTCCATCAATACATCAACACTAAATTACAAATGGGTTAATTTGCAAGATTACGTTATCTCAAGGCCACAACACAATAGAGGCATGTTCATTTCTTTGGGTAGTGAAAGGCCTTGAGAAGGACTGTATACTAAACTTGGCAAAGACAGAAAAACACTATAATTCTTGACAAGTTGACCTTGACAAAACATTGGAAACCCACCCCCCCCAAAAAAGTGACTGTCGGCCAAAACACACTTACCCTTGTTGGACAGCAGAAGGCGGATGGTAGAGCCAGGGCAAGTAGCGGTTGACGGCCTTGGTGGAGTCACGCTGATTGCTACGGGTAAACTCCAGCGCTATGATCTGGGCCACACCTGCCTTCAGCTGGCTGCCTAAAGTGTCCTCATTCAGGTTCTGGTGGGATCCGCCTTTCATCTTGTCCTGTGAGAAGAGGAGGAAACAGGTGTGCCAGCATAGCCGTAAGCTGTTATGAGTTATGATCCCATCCCTTTTAACTTATGAGATCAGCCTTGTTCTCAAGAATGCATACACATGGCCACAAATGCTTACTCATGTTGACAAAAGTTCTCGCAGTTTAAATCCTGAAGCCTTTTAAGGACTTCTAGAGCTGTATTCCATCAGAATGCACACTTGAACACACAGGTCAACCAGATTTATACAGGGCACGGAAATTGACCAAGGCAAAATTGGGTATTTGTCCTCTTTTTGTTGCCTCCCACAAATCCTGGATTCACTCCATCTTGCACTCTTTGTCCAGAGCTTTACAAAGCAAACTTGGTACAACATAGGAACAGTTTAAGATCATTGCTAAGTACATTTGGATTGGAAAAAAATTCATACACTTTCCTCATTACAATTTTGTCTTCATTTTCATTTCATGCCATTCATATTTTCTACTCCAAAAGATATTTTGGAAAGTCTGGATGCAAAACTGCAGGTGATAGATCAGAATGCCGAAACACTGTTTTGAGCTTCATTTGAACCTTGTTGAACAACTTGTAAACTCAACCCTATTCCCCAGTTGGACCCTCTATTTTTAGGGCGACCTACAAGAGCAACCAACTTAATTTTAGAATCTCTGAAAGAGTTACCTATCATGTCACAAGTATATGATATGAAGATCATTTAGTCTTCAGTCTGCCCGTACCTTGACTTTGGTCAATGTATGTAGATCACCAACATACTCGATGGCATCATTCAGGTACTGCTTCAGGCAGTCATTGGCCAGGCTGGAGGACGACAGTTCAGCCATGCAGGCATCCGAGATGTCCCCATCTCCTCCCACCAGGTTGCCAAAGTCGCTCATCTTGCCACCGGCATCCAGACAGATGAACTGGACCAGCTGGATCAAGTTGATGTCCGGCAGGGAAGATTTGAACTTGAGGGCATTAACAAACTCCATCACCAGGCAGCGGGCGACAGACTGGCGCTCACGCTCCTGTGGGCAACCCAAGAATGACAACAATTGGTCGCTTTATATACGTACCCTTTTTCAGTAAACTGCAACAAATTTTGCTTTTTGCAACCTTCACTTAGTCATTTTCAGTTCATGCACACGTATGATGCAATCAACAAATGAATCTTGTCAACCATGTTCAATTCATTGGTTTTTCTACAGTTGAGAAAAACACACTGTTTATTTCACAACTGTGAAGACCCCTGCTGTTCCAGTCATCCGTTCAAAGTTACAGAAATCCAAACATTGAAAGAGTCATTTTGTTTGATCACATCACAAATGCTTTGCTAACCTATCACTGCGCCTTGGCCAACAGCAACCCACAATGGCTTGCTAAATCAAAACCTTGCATAAGCCGATTATCATCCCTCAAAACACACAGACAGACATAAAAGTAAACAATTCGGGATCTACAACAGTGCACCTCCAGACTTTTCAACACGCTGACCAATCACAATGCATGACATCTGTCAACCCTATCGAAACGCGCATTCGGTTGACAGATTTCACACACTGTGATTTGTCAACATGTTCCAACTCTTGGAGGAGCGCCCGTATTATCTATATGCTTTACAATGGCAAGGGAGATACTATGTTTGATGTGCATGTTGATGTGCACACAAAGTAAGTGTGAGTTGCATTTATCTCAAGACCACTAAAAAATAAGGATCCATCCAGCATGCTCACTATATCTCCTTGCTTCAGAAACCTTTGTGATAATTTCTGTATTTGGTTTTTAAAGCAAGACCCCAGTACCTTGACAAAGATGCGATTGCAGAGGGTGCAGACCTCAATCAGCAGCTTAAGCTTGAAGTGACAATTCTGGATGACATAGCTGATGAGCTTGGTCATGGGGTCCAGGAGGGTGCTTAGGGTCTTGGTAGCAGGGCTTTTCAGGATCACTATCATGATGCGGAACAGGTCGTTGGTGTCACACTGGATGGAAAGCAAGCGAGCCAATGGTCACTTGGAGAGTGTTCCCAAGTTATTTGCTTCATCTTACATCTCCAGCTTTGCTTGATTTTTATCTTCCCCAACTTTCGACAGGACCGCTGAACTGTAGGCAATCAACCCACCTGTAAAATTTTTTATTTATTTTTCATCTGCCTTGTTTCCTTGCAGTTTTGAGGCTAGACATGCAGCAAACAAAACTGAAAAATCTCATCAGCAGGTCGAGTCATCAAAAACATGAATGGCAAAGTCTCCGAAGTTGAAGCCTCAGACAAGACCTCAAAGGGCTATGACATCTATTTTACTACAAAAGGTAAACTGCAACGTTTCAGTTCCATCCTCACAAGCACTTATAATATGCACAGGACTGCTTCTCATTGTCTGCTATCCTCATCAAGTTCCAGTGACTTCACTTCAGGAAAAGAATCCCATGTTTGCATCCCAAATCTTCCCTTCAATATCATGCTGCTTGCTCAGTGGTATTCTGGTTTTGAGTTTTACACCAGATTTTACATTCAAAGTGGAAAGAATAAACCGACTTTTACAAGCTCATACAATGACAAACAACCTCATCAAGAATGACCCCAGGACTAACACTTTCAGGCAGGGCAAAGGCCAACTTCCTGAAGAACGTCTCAAAGAGTGAAATGAGGTTGCCCCAGGCACTGCTGCCCTCTAGAGGCAGATTCTCCATGTACTCAGCCAGGTTCATCAGCACCAGCAAGATGCGCAGTGAAGGTAACGTCTTTTTCTCATTCAGACCCTGCAACATCAACAGGCAACGTTAACAACATGAGTATGCAGTGATTATAAATACAGGTCAACGGGAAAAAACAGCAATCATAAAATTAACACCTTCCTGCTGCCAAGGGGAAAAAAAATGAAAATTATGGTACCCAATGGTCATCTGACACAACCCAGCCAACCAACCTCAGCGGTTGATCTGAGTGGTGAGACATCTGGTAAGCATCAGGTCTTGAGTTGGAGTCCAAACCAAGTAAAGCTTGTACATTTTTTCCAAAGCCCAAGGTTTTATAAACAAATAAAGGGGAAAACACCTGATATGAAAACTTATGTGGTACTGTCACTTCACTTGTGTTGGATAAACCTAGGCACTGTGATATGGATGACTTCAGCAACCAATCTCGATGGTGTGGTCTTGCTGACAGTTCTACTGCCAGACTGGTTTAGCTATTGTCAGCTGAAGGGTGAGTTCCACATACTTATCCAAAAAATGTACATACACCTTTCGGTATGTAAGCTTTTTGGATAAATACTACACTTCTCAATAATGAGCAAGGAAAAATTTTATTTCAAGAAAATGCAGACCATATCATTTCTAATTTTGAGCACGCCAGGATGTAGCAATATTGTAACTGACACCATGAACTTAATGGTACTTGGATGCTCTCCTCTTTCATGAAATTTGTTTTCATTAACTGTAACCAGGCCTGTTTGTGCACACGTTTAGTGCGTTTTGGTTTCACGAATTGAAGCTTTTCTAAAAAAGATTTCTAGGTATTTTTTTCCCTTTATCTCAATCAAATGGATCTCGTCAATTGTTCCTCAAAAAGGTTCATCTGTTACATGCTTGCATGTCATGTTCATGGGGACCAAAAATATTCTGTGATGCCTATGTACTCACAGTGAGTGTGCACACCTAGATGTCAGTTTGTGAAACCAGAAGGTTTTCATGAACTATCCAAAGATAGTGCTTGAGCTTGAGTTTGTGATAACGGTGACAATATGATTTGGATTGCCTGTTAAACTGTCATCATTCTGAACAGCTAGCCAAATGTCATCATTCTTAACAGCCAGCCACAATGCTGTCACTGAGTCCACACAAACCTGACTGCATCATTTCATGGAGTCCAATTTTCAAATCACACCAGTAATTACCAGCTGAACTGTTTTTGGCTTTGATGTAGGCAGAGGCACGGACCTGATAAGCCAGACCATATTCCTTGAATTTATCGGCACTTACCTCCAGGAGGAAGCTGACAGCATCCAGAGGCGATAGGTCACTGAAATCAGTCAGAGCCACTGCCATGGTCTTGAGAAAGTCCCCATCTGAAAAGACAATGTCAATAGCTGACAATGACAATTTCCATTGATGAGGATAAACCCATTATAAAACATGATGAACACATGGAATGATATGTAGACATCCAAACTGAAGGATAGGCTTTACACTTTGCTTGAATAGAATTCCAAGTCGAAACTTCCTGCTTTCTATCATGGAGATAACTGGGGCTGCATTTGAGCGTATTGCTCAAACTCAAGCACACTCCTGGGCGTATGTACTCTTGCGAGTATGACTCATTTTCAAGATGTATTTTTGCGTTGGGGAGATGTTAATTATATATAACGGGTTTGCCCTTACCCAACGTATATTAATAAGCACTGTATGCTCAGTGCTTGTCCGAGAGCTTGCGAAAAAAACCTCACANATGTATTTTTGCGTTGGGGAGACGGGCAAACCCGTTATATATAATTGAGTATGACTCATGTTAAGTGAGGGCGCACACTCAATCAAACCAGTGCATACAGTTCAAGATGGCAGAAAGATAGACATTTTCTGGTTTCCCAATATGATCCTGTACCCCTCAAAATACATCGAGAGTCAACACGCGCAAATGCAACCTTAGGGCCTCTGTTTCACATAGATCCAAATGGCAACCAGTGATCTAACACTGGTTCACTGCCACCACAACCCGCCTAATGGATGGAGCAAATCAGCATTGGGATCACTGATTGTGATCCAGATCCATATGGAACAAACAGACCAATAGATTGCGATTGCCACACATCTGTTTGCCAGAGGCTCCAGTGCTATGTTTGGTTAGACTATACCTTCGATCTTGCTGAGGAAAAGCTGGGGGAAAATGCCGTTGGGAGCGAGCTGATGCAAAGTACAGCGGAGGAACTGCTTGGCTACAGTGCAGCAATGGCCTGGTGGACTCCCAATACTAGCCAAGAGAAAGAAAAAATGAGACATTTTTTAGAAATGAGATGTCCTTTTTCCACTGCACAAATTTTTCAGACAATTTGCCATACATCCAAAATTTAGTATTTATAACCGCATCAGACAAGCATGAATTGAACTTTCCCATCTTAGCAAAAGGCACGAGACATTTTAGAATTCCACTTGGTAAACTTTGAAGCAAATATAAGGACAAACATGGCCTCATCATATTATTACAATTCAAATTAAATCTGAACTCCTTTTCTATGGGGCCACATCTAGAAGTAAACATCTACTTTCAATCAAAAGACTGAACATTGACATCAAAAGTTGCCCTATAAACATGTAAAAATTCAACATTAAATGTAAAAGGATTTGTTCACTCAATGACATCTCTATGTGACAAGTACTACTTTTGTGTAAAGGACCTTTCATCTAGCAAACCCAAGCTGACATTGACTTTTAATAAATGCCATCTCACATCGGTGACAATGCAGACACTTCACTGCAATTTTCTTACCTTTCTGCTTGCCAAGGGGAGAAGATTCCACTAGCAATCCTAGCATAAAGAAAAAAATGGTAAAATAACAATTTTTTTTTAACCTTATGAATTAAAACTGACGGTAGAGGAATTTTATATAAATTTAAGCAACAATGAAAAAAGAGCTGAAAAGTCAAAATCTGTCTGTAACTCAAGTGTCCCTACATAATATCAGCCTGTGTCCAAGCAAATCCAATGTAACACTGGCCAGCCTAGTAAATCCAATCAAGCTTAGCTCCATCTACCAGGCCACTTATTAGTTCTGAACCCAATCCATAACGGTCCAACCCAACCGACATGACCCAACCCACCAATCCAGGACAGAGCAGCCCAGTTGAGTCCAGCACAATCCAGTCGAGTGCAGCCCAATCCAATCTAACTCCAGCCCAATCAAGTCTAGCGACAGCAAAGCGCAGCCCTGACTAGCCAAGCTGATCCCATCAGAGTCCAACCCTACCCAGTCCAACTCAGGACAGCCACGTTCTACCAGCGAAGCTAATTTAATCTAGACCTGCCAAGCCAAGGGCAGCCTATTTAACAAAGTCAAGTGCAGCCATGTCCACCCCAACCAAACCCAGCCAATCTAGGACAGCCCAAACTAACCCAGTACAACTAACACTGTCCCATCCCTGAACCATCCCAACCCAACTTATCTTAACTCGGCCCTAGTCAACCACATCCAGTCTTGCCCAGCTCAGCCAAGCCAACCCAGCAAAGCCAACCCAACCAAGCCCAGCCTAACCAAATTCTGCCTTACCCAGCAAAGCCCTGGCTCAAACCTCCTGACCCAACCAAACTCGGCCATTGACAATCCCAACTAACCATGCCATTCCAGGACAGCTTAAAACACAACCCAGCCAAAACCAAGCTAACGTAGCTTATTACAATCCAATCCTACTTCAACCCAACCTAATCTAATCAAACTCAGCCTAGCTTGGTCCAACCAAGCCAATACACAGGCTGATATTGGCCCAATCCTCCAAATCCAGCCAAACCTGGCCAAGGACAGCCTAACTGAACCCAGTTCAGGGTGGCCAAATGCAACCAGCCAACCCAATTAGATCAATCCAAGCCAATTCCACCAAAACAAAACTCAGCCCAGAACTGCCATTCCAACCAATGTTGCCTCAAACAAGCAATTCATACAAACATACAACCCAGCCAATAAACCAGGCACCAATCTCCCAAAAATTGCAACTCAAACACACCAAACCCAATATTACTTAATCAATCCCAACCTAGGCCAGTAGCCAGGCCCAGCCAACCTCACTCATCAACATAGTCAGCCCTTTACCTTGCAACCACTTGCAGCATCTCTAAGAGAAGAGGAGCTGCCAACTCAGGGTCCCTGTGGACAAGTGCAGACAATACCACAATGGCCAGCGACACAGTGTCATCATCGTACTCCTCCAGTAATACACCGCAATCAGTGCACCTGTCACACAAAAATGTCGAAAAAAGAATCACTTGAGTGATCAAAATAAAACAAGTGTAAAAGAGATGACAAAATAGGTGCATGCAAGGCAGGTAGTTAATGTGACTATGAACAGCATTTCAGATAAGCTGAAACCGATCGTGGCCATCTGTAATTACCAATACACAATGTGTGATACCTTGACAAGCATGATCATTCACAATAGCCATACAATGTATCTCAGTATTTTTAAATACAGTTTTTGCTACATCAGTAACCTGAATACTGAACTATATATTTTATTAGTTTTGCAAACTCAGAACACTTCAGCTACAAAAAACTAATTACATCTTTTGTACTTCAACACCGTTCTTAATTTATGGTCAAACTTTACCAAAACTTAAGAGATCGACTCCACAGGGACCATTTCTATTTTTTACCTAGTTTTAAATTTTTTTCATCAATTCAATATATGCCCAAGGTATACCCCCAAAGTATTTCCTTCTACTGAGGAGATGTTAAATATTGCATGTTCGTAATGCAAAAACCCAGGCCACTGATTACTGTACCCACTGGCTACATCGTTTGGAACAAGCCAGCTCAACTTTGTAAATATAAGAGCTGAGTGTGTATGAGATCTCTGAACTAGTGGGCACAAGGTAAATAGTTTATTCTGCATCTGAGAGAAACCTCGTTAGTTTGTCTAAAGCCTAGCTCACACTTTCATGATTTTGGCTCCACTAGCCCCCTATTTACAAAGTCTTGATGAAGCATGGCACGCAAGGACACATGTATTAACCACTACCTGCCAGGGACTCCGAAATCGGAGCCGTATGGTTTATATGCGTGGCCAGGGTCTCCGAACTCGGACAAAGGAAACAGGGCCCTGTAACAAAAGACCGTACTCCGAACAAAAGACCAGGCTGCTGGGCATTAACGACATTTTTCACTCAAAAGT